CAGTCAGTCAGAAGTTTTATTATTTTAAAAAGTTTTTTCCATAACACAACAAAAAATACGAACGTGCAGACCAGCTGCCAATAACAATGAGAATGTAGGTCAATGCATTCAATTTAAAAGCATTCATGAACCTACATCTTTTCAACAAAATCATTCTTACTTAACTTAACCTTTGAATACCCACAGTTCCAATTTTCTTTTTAATTTTTCACAGAAATGAGAAACTACACTAGAAAGACGGATCGTGGTGCCCCACGAGATATCCTGATGCGTGCTGCCCAAGAAGTCCTCAGAAATAATAGGAGCAAAGCTGCAGATGCTAAGGATTTCAAAGTTGACAAAATGACACAAACTCGTTTCATTTTAAAAAATCCAGGAGTCAGAAGATGCCATCACAGGCTATAAAGCTGTTGGTGCGTCACAGGCTGTCTTTACCGAAACAATGGAACAAGACTTGGCCGCACACATCATCGACCTGTCTAACATGTTCCATGGACTATCTCAGAAGAGTAGCCGGACCTTGGCTTATGAATTTGGCTTAAAGAACAATATCAACATACCAAGTTCATAGTCTGAAAATGGACTCGCTGGACAAGATTGGTGGTTAGGTTTTGCTGGGCGACATCAACTAACACTTAAAACCCCTGAGTCGACGTCACTTGCTCGGGCCAGTGCCTTCAACAAGCCAGTCGTCAACATGTTTTTTGACAATCTAGCCAATGTCATGGACCAACATACAGTTGCACCATATCACATGTATAATTGTGAAAAAAAGGGGGTTACGACTGTTCAGAAACCCAAGGCAGTCGTGGCGAAGCGTGGCACAAAGCAAGTAGGATCCATCACCAGTCAGGAGAGAGGTGAGCTGGTAACAGTCATGTATGCCATTAGTGCCTCAGGAAACTCAACAATCCCTCCAATGATGATATTCCCGAGAGTGAACTATCGTGACCATTTTATTAGAGGAAGTCCACCTGGAACAATTGGCATTGCAAATCCGTCTGGGTGGATGACCAAGGAACTATTCGTTACGTTCTTAGAACATCTGGTTAAACATACAAATTGTTCTGCGGATAACAAAATTCTGCTTATTTTGGACAATCACGGGACACACATGTCTTGGGAGGCAGTGGACCTAGCAAGGGCAAATGGAATCGTCATGTTAACCATCCCACCACACAATACAACATTGCACTATGGACAGCTGGATGAGATCCAATCCAGGGGAAAATGTCACCATATAATGATATATGACATTCCGCAGATGCTAAGTATTGCACACAATGAAGCAGTCACGCCAAAGAACATCATATCAGGTTTCAAATGTACAGGCATATTTCCCTTGAACCGGATGGTGTTCTCTGAAATTGTCTATGCCCCTTCAACTACAACAGACAACAGGATGAATAATGCACCCCATGAAGGCACACGACAAGAAGAGCCAGGGTCATCTGTGCGACAGGATGAACCAAGGCCATCGATAGCGCCAACAACGCCCAATGCACCCACAAACTCTACCTCTACCTATCATGACTACTTCAAAATAGATATATTGGAATTTGTTTATGGTGTCAGGGTTTGTTCTGAAAATGCAGTCGTGTGCTGCGTTCTCTGCTGTTGAGCTCCGTTTAATCGCGTATATTGTAGTGAGAGTTGTGAGCGTCACAGAGTGCGAGTGATGGTATGTTTGCCTCGGCCTGGAGGCTTTCCACCGGAGAAGTGCGAAAACCCCCCAGAGCGAGGCAGAGTCCTTGGTTTTGCACTGGGTCTGGCATTTTTAAGATGTGCGGTTTTGCCGATCAATAGACTTGACAGCCGTAGTCAAGCCTGGATCGGAGAAGGGAGATGTACAAATGTGGAGAAGGAGTTTTTGAGACCCCGCCCCTCTGGATGCAATAAAATTTTCCAAGCGTTTAACGCTTTCTGGCACCTCACGCGAAGGTCTGAAATGGTGAAATGGTATGAGTTTAACGCCCCTATCAACACTATTAGGTTATTTAAAAGGCGGGACCTCCTAATTTAACGTCCGTCTCCGATAGGACCGAGCCAAGTGGGAAGTTCATGTAAAGTGCCTTTCCCAAGGACACAACGTCGGACCGAGCTGAGGCTCGAACCCGCAATTTCACGATTATGAGTCCCGTAGCCTAACCACTAGGCTACCGACGCCACCTCACGAAGGTCTTTGATGTGTGGTATGAATTCAAAATTCGCCATGAACGGCTTGGTATTTTTCTACTGGACATTGTTTTTGTCTACACTTCGTCAACCCTCGAACATCAACAACAAAGGAAGTTTTAATCCTGAGGGTCACGTGAAAACCAATCTTGGAGTCGTTTTTAACTCCGTGCTCGAGAACAACAAGCTTGTGAATACATGTTCTCCCAGCTCTTGCTCGTGTGTTAATATACCGGTAAAGCGGGGAATAAAATAAAAAAAAAAGAAAAAAAAGAAAAGAGGTGGGGCGCAAAAACAAAGGACAATCCTTGTGGTTAGATAATATTAAGATCTCGTGTTTATGATTAATTAGAAAATTCATGGGTCAACAGTAGACTGGAAAACCGAATCAACATTAATAATAATTCGGTCAAAATCAACCGTCAAAATTTTTTGCAAGAAGTAACACAAAAAATCTGAGTAGTTTGCCTCAACTCCGGGTCATGGCGTAATAAAGTGGAGGAATTAAAAGATTTAATAAAAGAAATGAACCTCGATATTGTATGTATTACAGAATCATGGTTACAGGAGTACGGTGATTAGGCTATTTTAATCAGCAATATGCCCAGCTGGTTATTTAATTACGTCTTTCCCTCGTGCCAGGCGTAGAGGAGGAGGAGGAGTAGCGTTTATTTATAGAACTGATTTACCACAAGTTACTGGAAAAAAAGAATACCTGTCACTCACGTAAGGCTGCTTTACTGTCATTCCTGCTGCAGTCCCAAAGCATTACCATCTTCTACTATAGGCCCCCACCGAGAGAAGTAAATTATATCAAGCCATCCGCTTTTATGGAGGAATTACTCAATTTGAATTTCTGCTCTGAAGATGAAAAATGCACCATTCATCATACCTGGCGATTTTGATTTTCACTTTGGCTCTGAAAATCCTGTCACTAAAAATATATGCAACCTGCTGACAGAAAATGATTTAAAACAACTCGTCCAAGTACCAACACATTAAAGTCAGCAAATCCTAGATTGGGTTATCTCCCCTGTCGAAAAGAACTGTGTGGAAAGCATAAACGTTCCGGATAAAGACATTTCGGATCATTTTCTTCTGATCGTCGACTTGGAAATAAAACGACCAAGGAAAGAAGTAAAAACCAGTTCATTCTCGGAATTTGAAAGATATAAATTTACCCAAGTTTCAATGTTGATATTCGTGACGCTCTCGCTACGAGCTCCCCTATAACATAAAAACCCTCAACAGTCAACACCACCATGAGGACAATTTTAGATGATAATGCACCTCTCTTAAAAAGAAAGGAAATGACCTCATCCTCCTGTTGGTAAGTGGTTTAATTTAGAAATAAAGACAGAAAAAAAGAAGAAAAAAGACAAGAGGAAAGAAAATGGAAAAGAAAACGACTTGAAAAGCATTATAGGGAAATATATTTAAGAAGAATTCTGCTACTAAAATGATTACCAAGGCCAAACGAACTTTCTTTTTGTCTAAATTTGAACATGTTAAAACTGGTAAGGAACTTTTTGATGTTTCTAGACAACTGCTTGGCAACCAAAATAGAATGGTATTACCCGCTGGCACTGACAGAGAACTTTGTAGTAGTTTTTCAACCTTTTTTTTCTAATAATAATAAAAGCCCCTACAAAACGTTCAGGCTGAATCATACAGTCTTCTTATATTTTCAAAATACCTCCAGCTCATTGAATTTTCGTTCAGATTTGGCGAGCATCTGAACAACAACAAGGCTGAAAAGGATTCTAAATTGGAGGCTCTGCTTAAAAGTCCCTCAATCACTGACGCATGCACGTAGAGAGAACGCAGAAGAAACCATTGCTATGTTCCGACATCACAAACTTACAACTGAAACTGTCAGCTCACGAGGGAGATGATCTTCAGCCAGTCGACAGATTCATAGACGAGATAACAAAACCCGGAGATCGGGTGCGCTTCGGTAAAAATCAAACTGGATGCTTTGAATTCTTAATATATATGTCTGCAGAGCAAATAAAACTGGCTCAAGCATTTCCGGATGCTTTGGTTGCTGACACAACGCACAAGACAAATGGCTACATGCTACGGATGACAACTGTCGTGTGCATAGACAATAATGAGGCAGGCCATCCAATACTGCATGGTTACTTTTACCATGAGGACAAGGAGCACCTTGTAGAATGTCTACGTTTCTTGCTAGAAGTAAGAAGTCCATGGGGAGGTTTCCACTTTTTTGTTGATAAGGACATGGCAGAGATATCAGCGGCAGTTTCCCTCTGCAACTTCCATGTGAAACAGGTCATAAAGCAAGCTCTTCAGAGCAATGGAATGGGGAAGCATCTTCTTGAGTACATAATTGACCTGTTTGACAAACAATGCCAAACAGTTTTTGAAGAGGAATACGAAGAACTGAAGGAGGCAATAACGAATATGAGCCCCCTCCTAATGTTCAGTACTTTACTACAAACTGGTGGTCATACCCAGGGCGGTGCGCTACTTTAAAAACATGGACACACCTCAACTCAAAACTGCCCAATTGCAGCAGTTGCTAACAACCTGGAAAGAAAATAATGTTGTCATTATTGATGCTGATGTAGATCCTGTTGTTGATGTTCCAGTTGATATTGCTCCTAATGTTGCACCTGTTGATGTTCCTGTTGACATTGTGGTCGATATCAATTGTCCAATTGTCAGTTCCATTGATGGAGATGTTCCAGCCAATGTTGCATCTGTTGATTCTGATGGTCTAACTGATGGTGCTAGCAGTACTGCTGATGTACATTTCTCATCAGTCAAACTTGTCAAGTTAAAGACAAAAGGATGCCCCAGTGTGAAACAAAATTCCACTGGACGAAAAAGGAAAGCTAATTGTCCCCAGTCATTTGACGTTTGTGATAACAATGTCAAACAAACAATTATTTTGTCTGGGTTGGCCTGCCTCGTGTCAGAGGATCTGACACACATAGGACATTTCTAAACTGAAAAGTTCAAAAGACATGTCTCCCTGTGTGGATCCACAGGTGGATATCTCTGCTGTCAATGAGTTTTTCTCTGAGTAGGCATTCATGGAAGTTCATCATAGACTGTCTGAGAAAGTTTGTAAGAGTTTGTATGTCCTGCTTGTGGAGATTCTGATGATGGTCTGCTTAAAATTGTCCAATGTGACTATTGCATGGAATGGTATGATTACGAATGTGAAGGCTTATGTTCGAACTTCAAGTCCAAAATGTGGTTTTTGTCAGCATTGCTGGCTACCAGTGTAATTATTTGGTTTATCCAACACGTTTTTAATGACAACATGTAGGCTATTACATATATAAATCAGGACAGGCAACAGCCCGGATCTAAGGATCCGACAAAAACCAGGGAGAGTGAACACTCTGTCCGTGAGGGGAACGGAGGAGTGGACGGAGAGGTGGACAACGCTCTTCCAACCAACATTGTTCCCATACCACGATCCCAATCACTGTCTGTGACCACTAGAGGTAACCTCAGACAAACCATGATTGTGCTTGATAAAAAGCATGGGGCACATAGTGTTTCCAGAGGGCGCTCAGCTTCAAAACGAAGACAGTCTTCTGGGGGGGGGAAATGGACAGAAGAAGCGACAGAAAAGAGAGGCTGCAAAATCAAGCCTTTGACTCGCCTTCGGCCTTCACCTGCAACAAGTGGGGCAGAGACTTTCAAGCTTAAAACGGACTTTTGAGCCAATCCAGACGATGTTCTCGACAGGAGTGACATAAAGGCGCAACCATTGTCTCCACAGACAGAAAGAGCCACCGACGATGTCTTAGTGTATACTTCACTGAGAGGTATGTGCATGCAGGCTCAAAGTCTTAACCATACTCCATGTTTACTTTACATACACATCCATTATTATTGAGTGGTGCCAAAACACTACCTTACTAAAGATTTTTTACACCCTGAGATTTATACACATCTTCTTCTACACACATGATACATAAAAATTGAATGACGATACTAACACACAATCACATACATGCTTGCATGCTTACTGAATACACATGGTTTTCTTCTTCTTCCTCTCACACTATGGGGCGGTTGGCGGGCATAACTGGTAGAGTTCTTACTTGAGTAGTATACATGCATTACAAACAAAAATACATACAGGCATACACACACATATATATATATATATGGATTCTCAAACACATGTATGTAATACATATCAAACACATACATACAGGCTGGTATACATGTACCAGCTTGGGAATCATTTGCCTATGTACTACTCTGTCGATATCACAAATACGGGTCAATAATTCCAGAGTGCAGTGGAAGCGTGTGAGTACTTAACATTATAGTGCAGTGTTGTTGAAGTGTACGCATCCCTAACAGTGCAGTGTTCGGGAATGGTACGCGCCCCTAACAACTTCCAAAAATGTAAATTCTCAGTTCTCAAAGATATGCCAGCCTTGGGAGTCTGTAAACTTTGGCGGCCATTTCCTCAATAATTTTACCTCATAGATGAGGGTGCCAACATCTTTTTCAATTGCAGAAATCTTAACTTCTATTAAAGAAATCTAAGAGGGCTATTTTTTCATCAAAAACAAGATAAATCAACAGGCTGATGACAAAAACATCTCATGCCCAAAATTGACAAAATGCATGATTCCACCATATCGTCACACATATAACAATACAAACTGTTTTCTTTAACGAAAGATTTGTGAATCCAATATTTTTTGCTTCCCCCAAACAGCTAAGCCACACAGACTTTAAAACTCGTTTTCCGTGCAGCACAAGCAATATAAACTAGGATTTTCTGTGACAAAGCTGCATCTCAAACACACTAGTATTGGAAAACTTTTCCTTCTACTCTTCAAATCACAAATTCAATTAAATTTCAAATTACAAATTAGGAAGAAAAAAAAATTGAGCTGGCAAACTTCAAACCAGGCCAGCTTTTCTCTTGTGAGTTCTTTCATGTCTTTTAAAGTTACTACCTTCAGCAAAACAAACACCACAAATTTTACACTTGTACAGCTTTTCCCTTGTGTTTTCTTATGTGTTTCTGCAAGTTGCCACTGTCTGAAAACCCAGAACCACAAACTTCACACTTTGACTTATAGGGCTTTTCTCCTGTGTGTGTTCTACTTTCAAGAGCCTCTGCAGGTGACTTCTTTCTGCATACTGCAAACATCACACCTGAAAGACTTGCAGTGGTGATAACTCTTGTGTGTCTCTTCAGATCACCATTACGCACAAAACTTGAACCACATACCTCTCGGCTGAACGGCTTTTCTCCTGTATGGTATGTATTCTTATATTATATGCCTGCGTAAATGGCCACTTTCTGAAAACTGGGGACCACAATCTTCACACTTGTAAGGTTTCTCCCCCGTGTGTCATCTCTTGTGCCTCCGTAGATTGCTCCAATCTGAACAACAGGTACCACAAACATCACACTTGAGACATTTTGCCCTAGTCAGCAGTCTTTTGTCCCTCACAGAGCCAGAGTTCTCTTGAACACTGGTGCCACCGTGACCCATTGTGTTCTTTGTTGCAGTGTGCCACACAGGGATCCAATCCGATTATCAGACAAGCAGATGCTGCTGGAGGACTGACAGCTACTGGACTGGAACAGGTAGATACGGCATCTGTTAAAAGTCAAGTAATTTACAATATAAATACATGTCAGCTTTTACCAAAATATTTTCAAATATGTTCAAGTAAAAAATTGTAGCTTTCATGACAATTTTAACTTATCAAACAGTCAGTTTTATGCTGTTCTGATTTTCATGCCTGATTCTTTCTTTATAATTTCAGAGTTGAGGAGGTAATCAGAGATACAGTACTCAAACCGGAAAATGGACCAATCTATAGACACTGCTACTACAAGAGTCATACATCAGGGTAAGGAATACAAGTAACCATGAATTGTACTGTAGTGTCTCGCAAGCAAACACAATACAGTGTGTAATGTAGAAGAGTACAATTAAAATAAAGCATATAAATAAACTTAATAGTTCAGCTCAAATTTCACTCTCCGCGTGATGCGGTGATTATGAAAATTCAGAAAATGGGTACTTTTTCGGTAGTTCCCATCCCCATTATTTGAGCCTAGATTTCTAATCTAGATTTAGATCTAGAATCTAGATCTACGTTTGATGAGAGGCGAGTTAAAAAATCAAACCTCTAACAACTGCAAAACATCAAATTATGGTAAAATTCAGGGGCATGCCCCCCTGAAACACCCCACCTTATTTTTATTAGGTCCCCCCTGAAACCCCCCACCTTATTTTTATTAGGTCCCCCCTGAAACCCCCCTACCCCTGGGGCCAAAACCCGCGAAAAATAATTGCAGGGTGGGAACTACCGAAAAAGCGTCTGAAAATGTGAGGCAGACTGGTGAAACGAAGCGCTCACCAAAATAGTGAAATCGTAGAGACAGGCATTTCCTGTCAAATTGGCAATGTTTTTCAAATTATAGTTTCGAAGTGACTATTTCTCAGAACGTTCGGGAAAATAAACTTGGACTTTATTTCTCCGAAACGGTTTCCGTTCTCAAGATTTTTTTTGTTATTTGTGAGATTTCGGCGTCACCTTTCATTCTCCCATTCTGCAAGGACTAGGAAGAAGCATTTTTTGCATCGAATTCAATTTCTACTGCTTGAGCAGTTGTGGTTGGGGCAATGTTCCCGGACTATACTTCATTCGAAAATACCTTCAAAAGGAGAAAACAAGACTGATCAAACTTGGCAATAACCTATTTTGCACTTAGACACCCAGCAAAAACTAAAATTCTTTCATGTAAAAAAAAATCCCTCCACTCCCCGCCCGGTCCACACCTCACACACACACACACACACACACACACCACACACACACATACATGCACACACACACACACACACAGGCCACTCCATTCGCAATTATTATCAACAAATCTCGAGAACGGAAACCGTTCGGAGAAATAAAGTTCAAGTTTATTTTCCCGAATGTTCGGAGAAATAGAGCCTGCCCTTTAGTTTTTAGGCCAATCCCTTTTTCGGAGTGCGTGGGCATGTAGCCTCAATATCTACGTACACGGTAACCGGCTACCGGGCATGTGGTCTCAGTGTCACCAGAAACTGTATAATTAAACGCCACCTCTATTCTCACCCCGGGTGAGAATAGCGCAGGCGAGTCTTTTGGCTATTCTCACCCGGTGTGCGTTCACCGTTATAGCCTAGATCTAGGCCAACCAATTTTGCGTTCACCCTGAACCACAGAATTCTACTGTGATAACAGAAAAATTGTACAATTCTGTGCCGTGAGCTTGTACGTTCCATTACTACTGTTAGCCTAAAAGCGTACAATTTTGTCTGTGGGCAGTGGAGAGAGAGAGAGAGAGAGAGAGAGAGGAGTAGCGCGAGAACTTCCGGGCAAAGCAAAATGGCGACCCGCGTAGTTCGGCTTCATTCGAAAAGGTAAATAGCCGTAGCATCTTTGTAGACGAACAAATGAATTTACTTTTGTGTTTTAACATCATTTTAAAACTTTATTTTGATTTATTTGATCGTCCACACAGATAAGACAGTAATCAGAAAGAGACAGAGAGAGAGAAGAGGGGAGGAGTGGATCTTGCGAGAACTTCCGGGCAAAACAAAATGTCGACCTGCGTAGTTCGGCTCGATTCGAAAAGTGAAATAGCCATAGCATCTTTGTAGACGATCAAATTAGCTTACTTTTGTGCTATAACGTAATTTTTTCTTTGCTTTTATCCATTTGATCATCCACACCGATAGAAAGTATTCCAAAATTAGGAAAAACAGGTCTTGTTTCATACTGGAGAATAGCCAACGGTGGCAAGTCTCACCCGGGGTGAGAGGTCGATCGTATTTTTATTCTCACCCTGGGTAAGGATAGCCACTTCCATTGATTTATTTTCATTCTGGTTACCGTGTACGTAGATACAAAGACTAGGTGAGACTAGGTGCCCGGTTACCGTGTACATAAATACTGAGACTAGGTGCCCGGTTACCGTGTACGTAGATACTCCGTCACCTTTTATGTCCATATATATAAAACCGGACACAAAAGGTGATTGATTATAAAATAAGATTCTAGCGAAAAAACTGATACCCTTTATACTTTATGAGACGGGAGGGTTTCTATAAATTTACCAAATCATATACAGTCGAACCTGCCCTGACGGCCACCTCTATAAGACGACCGCCTGTACAAACGGCCACTTTCCATTTCCCCCCTTGCGTTTTTTCTATATAATTTAACTGTGTAAAACGGGCACCTGTCCAACGCGGCCGCGGCCACCATATATATTTTAACACACAACCCCTATCACACTAATCACTAAGCAATAACACCTGTCTTAGACGGCCACCTTAGTGAAAGTTAGTGACTCCATTATTACGTTTTGTCATTCATAGTGCATTGACCCCTGGCATTATGGGCGAGCCGTCATAATATAATCTAACCACCTGTCGTTGTTGTTAGGTAGTCCCTCCAACCGATCATGTTGCGTAGGCCCCTACCACTGTTGACCACCAATAGGTCAATAGGTACCAATTTCCAGCTGCTGGTGACGGAAGCGTGTGATCCCTCATCATACCATAAGCCCCGCCCAGAACTCATACACAAATCGTGAGATGAGTGGTCACTGTTTACCCAGTCTGTAACAAAATAATGGACATCAACATGGACTTGTGGCAGAAGCGTCGCTCATTCTTCGAGTGGTGGCGACCCGTATGTTTGTTTTACCATGCACTCGGTCCTCGCTGTCTGACATATTTCGTTTTATTGTCACCCTTGCACAAAATCAGCAACAAAATAAAAATAACAAACAAAATACAAACCAACAACAACAACTAAAACAACAATAATGCGGCTACTTTTGATTGGGAATGGGGTTTGTACTGCCTAAGACGGCCACGGGCCACGGCCACTTTTCTCCTTGACAATGGGTTTGACTGTAGATCTATATCTAGATTAGATATCTAGATCTAGATTTCTAGATTAGATTCCAGATCTAGACTCAAGATCTAGATTCTAGATCTAGATTTCTAGATCTACATGGACTTCTGTTTTTTTGTGTGCATGTTGTGCATGTTGTGCATCATCATGTTGACGTTGGGGAGGATTCGACACGCTTACCTCCAGATCTTGTGTTTATTCTGTTGTCGTTCCATCACGTAGATCTACACATCTTGTATTCATACTGTTGTCGTTCCACATTAATTTATGTCCACTTAATCAAACACAGGAAAATAAGGCCTGCTGCGGGCCACCTCTCCGATCTCGCCTCTCACGATCACATGGTGGATTTTACTGAGCAGGCCTAGGCCTAGATTGACTGAGAGGAAGGCCTAGCCGGCAGGGTGAGGGTGAGCGGAGCGAGGTAGACTGAACAGTATAAAATCTGCTGTGATAAATGCGGCCTAACAACAGATTGCATACACAATTGGTCCATATCAATACGGTACAATAAGTCTTTAGAGCGAGAACATAATATCATACAATATTACACAAATTATATTGTTGAAACGGCAAAAGAAAAAGCTTCATCATTTCTTTATCAAAAACGAATGTTTTATGACTGAAAAAAATGTAATCGGTTGCTTCTTTTTTTATAGTAAGACGTCTCTCATTTACAGCGTGCATGGCATTGCGTTTCAGAAAGCTGATCAAGATGACATTTCTAACATTTGGACCCTTAAATCTCTCTATCTCGAGTTTCCATCGCCAAACTAACACCTATAATAGATATCTAATGTCTTGTCAGTGCATAATTCTTGTAAATATTGTAGACTCAAATCGTTAAACTGTAAATAAGGCGTAAGGCCTATCGGATCATTATTTTGTTAGTTGCTACAACTAGACACACACAAAGGTTAGGCCTAGATAAGTTGTTATGTCGGTTGTTATAACACATTCTCAGACTTAAACAGAATCTATTTACTTTCGTGTATGGCTAGTTGTCACAACCAATAAAGAACTTTGTTTTACGACAAGAGTCTATTTTTCAAGCAACTAATTGCACTGACCACAGACTCAACTCAAGCAATGTACATAGTACCAACTCTCGTGATTTTGGAAAGCAAGAAAAAGCCTTAAAATTATTCATTCTCCAAATTTATTCTTTCAGGTGTGATGTCTGTTGTTCCACTCTTAGAGTTAGACTCAATCCATTTATTTTCGTGTATGTCTAGTTAAAATTGTAACAACCAACACATAATTTTGTTTTACGACGCGAATTTACAATCTAAAATTCTCAAAACTAGGCACTGAAATAACAACAAAGCTCCTAATTGCTTTTTATGAAAGCGGTGAGATCAGAACATAGAAGAATGTCCAGGTCTCAAAGTAAATAGAGAAAAGATTAATAACATCGGGTATGCAAATGACAGTCTTGATAGCAGGCTCAGAAAAGGACTTTCAATTGCTTCTAGATCTAGATACTGTTGTTACAGAAAGTGAACGTAAAGGATTATTATTGAATGTAAAGAAAATAGAATGCAAGGTAATATAAAAAAAACCCAGCAAAACCTAGTTGTAATCTCATTAGCAAAGGTGAAAAGATCAAACATGTCCAACAGTTTAAATATCTAAGATGCATGATAACATCTGATACCAAATGTTCCTCAGAAATAAGACGGAGAATTACAATGGCTAAGGCTAGTTTCAATAAAACGAACCCAATCCTGAAAAATAGAAACATCTCAATGAACACCAAAATGAAAGTTCTGAAATGCTATGTTTGGTCAACCCTTCTATATGGCTGTGAATGCTAGACCATCACAAAAGACAGTGAAAATAAAATAGAAGCAACAGAAATGTGGTTTCTTAGGAGACTGCTAAGAGTATGGTGGAAGGAAAAGAAATCAAATTAAGTAGTGCTTGATGAAGCCCACGTGGGTCGCTCAATGTTAAAAAACAATTAGGAAACGACAAATGCAGTTTTTGGGACACATAAATAGACATAAGGGCCTTGAACACCTAGCTCTCACTGGCAAAATTGAGGGCAATAAGCGAGGCAGGGGAAGGCCCAGAACAACATACTTGGGTAACCTAAACAAATGGGTAACAGGGAAAGATCAGGGAAATGTAGTTTTTTTTTAGAGCATCCGAGCGAAGGAATGAATGGAGAACAATGATCGCCGATGTCTGTCGCAGATCTGACACTGGATGATGATGAGTTCTTCAAACGCGACAATCACTTCAACTCCATTATTATCTGGCCCTGTGGCTTTTCCTTGTCTCATTATCCTAATGGCAGCTTGTACTTCTGCTTTCAGTATTGATGGTCCATTTATTTCATTCTTTATTACCGGTTTTTCTCATCTGTTATCTGTTAAAAGTTCCTCTATGTATTCATATCTGTTTAAGACATCCCCGATTTCCATTAAAATATCTCCTCCTTTTGATCTTATGCCTCCTCTATTCGAGCATCCTTTTATTCCACTTGCTTATTTGATTTTGGAAAGCATGTATTTGCTGCACAGAATTCTACACTTAGTGTAGAATTCTGTGATTTGCTGTCTTTGTTTTGGTTCTTCTCTATTTGTTGACACTGATCATTTATCCAAGTTTCTTTTGCTTCGTTGCATTTTTTCTTTTTTTCCCTGTTTAAGATGTTGTACTTTTACACATTAGCTTTTGCCTTTCTTCTCTCTTCCATTAGTTGTAATATGTCCTGGGTCATCCATTTTTTATTAGCTTTTTTAGCTTTCGGGGGGATATTTTCTTCCACAGCTTCCATTATTGAGTCTTTCGTTTTGCTCCATAGTTCTTCCGATTTAGTCATGTTTTCCAAAGCTTGAAAATTAATTGCTTACATCGATGGAGAAACGTTCTTTCAGTTCTTGGTTTGTCTTTAAAAGACTTACGTCAAATTTTGATTGGTACTTTGACTTTTTAAGTTTCTTCAGTCTTTTCCGCAATTTAAGCATTACTGGTACATGGTCACCATCACAGTCTGCTCCTGGCAGTGATTTGGATGATTTAAATTGTATTTCTAAAACATTTCTAAATAAGTATGAAGTCGTTTTGATCTCTACTTCTATCGCCAGTACTCTTCCAAGTGTATCGTCTTCTTGGGTGATTTTCATACCAAGTGTTAGATATCATAAAATTATTTTCTCTGCACCATTCTACCTGTCGTTCCCCGCGTTCATTTACTTTACCCAGTCTCCATGGCCCAACTATATCTTCTATACGTGCACTTCCTACTTCGGCATTAAAGTCTCCCATGACTATCTTTACATCTTGTGATTTTAATTGTTTCATTGCCTTATCAAGGTCTTCATAAAAAGTCTCAATTTCTTCGTTGTCGTGCTCTGATGTTGGTGTATAATACTAGGATGACACTTATGTCAATAGGTTTCCCCTCTAATTTAGCCACGATGACTCTATCTGACAGTCCCCCAAAACCTTTGATGCTCTTTGCTGTTGCTTCGTCAAATAAAATGTTGACTCCCTTTTCATGTTTTTTTCCTCCTGAGTATACGGTTGTTTTGGATCCTCTTTTAATCAAGCCTGCCCCCTCTCATCTAACTTCGGAAAATCCAAACATATTTAGCTTCATCCTGTCCATTTCCTGCTTTATATTACATGTATCTAATTTGCCTTTCTGATATATTGTTTATATTGTTCTCACATTCCATGTGGCTATGTTAAGCTGCTTATTTTTCAGCCAGTAGTTGGATGACGATCGAGCGCCAATTGCTGCCCATGGCGGTCCCTACCGAGCGGGGAGTTCAGAGCTGGATCATGAACCCCCCTTAACGCTGTTATCTGATGAATGAATGTACTGTTCCATGACTATTCTTGGAATATTATTACAGCAGTGGTTTCCCGTTGCCTACTGCCGGTTTGTGTACAGTTTCTCTGCTAGCCTTTGTCATCCACTGACAACCCACAAGGCAGTGGGGGGCTTTGGTAGGATTTATGGCGCCTTCCGTCGCCAAAATGGTCCCTGCTTAGAGTTACTTAGGTCAAATTTTTGGTCGGTCGTTACACTTTTAAAAATCGACGGATAGCTTACTTTTTTGTCAGTGCCTATTTGTTAAAAACAACAAATAACTTTCTTTAGTATCTTTTTGACTTTCCAACTCGAAAAAGAGTTGGGTTTTTTTTTTAATCCAGATTACTTAGGTAATTTTTTATTTTGACTGTGACACTTTTAGTAATGAGGGTAATCTATATTTTCTCGAAAGTGTTAAGCTGTAGTAAACAATAAATGACTTTGAGCTGAAAAAACCCCTGTTATTTTTACGTAAGTTTTTTAGGTAAATTTTATGGTCGGTCGTTACACTTTTGGTAATGCATGTAATTGTATTTTTTGGTCAGTGCCACGTTGTAGTAAACAACAAATAACATTGTTTCACAACGTAGGTTTGGTCTTTGTAGCTGGAAACAGATATTTCTTTATTCAGTTTACTTAGGTTAATTTTTATTTTTATTATTACACTTTCAGTAATGGAGGCAATCTATATTTTGTCGTCAGTGCAAAGCTTTAGTGAACAATAAAATATTTTATTTTAGAAAAATGTTCTGATCATTTGAGCTGAAATCACATTTATTTTTACATAATAAGTTACTTAGGTCAATTTTTTTGGGTCGTTACACTTTTTAAAATGGACGGATAGTTTACTTTTTTATCAGTGCCAATTTGTATAAAACAACAAATAACTTTCTTTAGTACCGCCATTTTGGACTTTAAAACTCGAAAAAGAGTTGTTTTTTAAATCCAGATTACTTAGGTAATTTTTATTTTATTTTGACAGTGACACTTTCAGAAATGAGGGTAATCTTTATTTTCTCGCCAGTGCCAAGCTGTAGTAAACAATAAATGTTTTAGAGCTGGAAAAAAACCCTTTATTTTTATGAAAATTTCTTAAGTTAAGTAAATT